GCATGAAGGGACCAGTACTGCAGACCCAAAGCTGCAGGATTCCACAACACAGGGCAACAGCAGGATGACTAAGAGAAGTTCCAGTGAGGATCCAGCATCGACAGTGTAGCTGAAACCAGAGGTAGAACCAGACCAATGGCTGATTCATTTGCAATGAACACTTGTAAGTAAAGATACATAGACAAAGGGGTTTGCTTCATGACTCACTGTGTCACACTGCAGCTTCCACGATGAGATCCCCCTCCCCTTTTTTCTTCTTTCTCTTAAATTTTATCTGAGGGTGAGGGTGCTGCAAGAGCAGATACGCAGGGGCAGGAAATGAATGGGATCGAGATGCATGATGTGAAAGACACAAAGAATAAACAAAAAGTAAAAAGAGATAATTTAAATATTTTTTTTAAAAGGGAGGGTCAAGCAACTAAGCAGCAGAGAACAGTGTAGTCATAAGAGACAAGGAGGAACAAGCTGGAACTCCCAAGAGTGCCACCAAGGAATAGAAAAGCTACAGGACAGGCAGCTCCTGGGGGAGACAAGGAACTTGCGATGTACAGGCCCAGGAGGGCACAAAGAGAGATAGAGCAGCTAGATCCGTGGGGAATGGAACTAGGAAAGGATAGAAGAGCCAGGAACATGCAGTAGAGAAGCTGTGGGAATTTAGTAGCAGCTCCTAAGGAGAAGTGAGGAAGTTTCCAGTAAGGAGCTGAGAGGAACCGTGAGGGAGCAGAGGGCGTAAGTGTTGTAGTAACAAGAGTTTCAATCTGGGGTATCCCCAAGTGGACTGAGAGATTTGTCAGGGAGAAATGTTCAAAATCACGGAGGAGGGGCATCCCTTTCTATGTGATTGGGGCCCAGTAGGGTGAGAGGAAGCTTCCTGGCATACCAGTGTGACTTTCATAGAAAAAAATAAAACAAAACGGAGAGCTTCATAGTGACACCCAGAAGAAAAGGCAGAATAAAGACAGGTGGTTAGAGCAGGGAAAGGAGGAAACAGCTGGAGAGGCGCACGCGTCTTAGTGAGCAGGACTGCACACGTAGGGGAGCCCTGAAGGGCATAGGAGGGAGATGCCCGTGTGATGGGGGCCCTGAAGGGCATAGGAGGGAGATACATATGTGGGGGAGCCCTGAAGGACGTAGGAGGGAGATGCCCGTGTGATGGGGCCCTCAAGGGAGTAGGAGAGAGATGCCCATGTGATGTGGCCCTCAAGGGCATAGAAGGGAGATGCCCGTGTGATGGGGCCCTGAAGGGCAGAGAAGGGAGATACATATGTGGGGGAGCCCTGAAGGACGTAGAAGGGGGATAATCACCTGGTGGACGGCCCAAAGGGGTATAGTAAGGAGATGTTCACATTGTGGGCAGACCAAAGGGCATAGAAGGGAGATGACCACCTGGTGAATGGCCCAAAAGAGCATAGTATGAAGAGAGGACATTTAATGAATTGGGGAGAAGGGTTGGTTAGTTAGTTTGAAGAAGAGGATTCTAGAATCAAATTTGGTGGGTGCAAAAGCCAGCAGAAGCAAATGATTTGTACATACCTTAAGAGAGTCAGAACAGCAGCTTGGTTCAGAGCTGAGTTCCTTTGGGAGGGAACTCATTAAGCCATTCCCATGGTTTTGGCACCAGATGAATGAAAAAAAAAAATAGAAAGGAGAGGCTGGAGAGATGTGTCAGTGGTTAAGAGCACCAGCTGCTCTTCCAAAGGACCTGGGTTCAATTCCCAGCACCCACATGGCAGCTCATAACAGTTTGTAACTACAGTTTCAGGGAATCTGACACCTTCACAAAGATATACATGCAAACAAAACACCAATTAGCATAAAGTAAATAAATCTTAAAAAATTAATGAAAAGGAAAGGAAAGGACGTGACTGCTCCTTGGTATGGTGGAGGAGAAAGTTTATTATGACTGGGTGGTGGTGGTGCACACCTTTAATCCAGCACTCAGGAGGCAGAGGCAGGCTGATCTCTATGAGTTTGTGGACAGCCTGGTCTACAAGAGCTAGTTCCAAGACAGGCTCCAAAGCTACAGAGAAACCCTGTCTTGAAAGATAAAGAAAAAGAAAGAAATAAAATTTATTATGGATAAAAGTAGAGTGTGAACAGATAGCAGAATCAGGAATATCTGGGAGAGTCCAGAGTGGTCATGACCCTGAGCCATGTGGGGAGACAGGGAGGGAGGGGAATCATATGTGGCAACCTGGAGGTCAAAGGAACAAAAAGGGGCAGGTAACCAAAACGTCTGGATTATATAGGAAAGAGCTTCTAGGGGAAGGGCAGCTTAATCCTTGGACTGGAGAGCTCAGGGCAGAGAGTGAGGTAAGCCACCCATACCCCATAATAGGTAGGAACTGAGGGATGCTGGTGAATCTGGAAGCCAGGTCCGTTTTGATATGTTAAATGGTCGCTTCAAACATTTATCCCTGGTTTGAAACGTAACAGTGTCCTAGTTTCATTTTTGTTGCTATGATAAAATATCTTGACAAAAATGACATGGAGGAAGAAGGGTTTATACAGCTTAGAAGTTACAGATGCAGTCCATCGTTTCAGGAAAATCAAGGCAGGAGTTTCAGGAAAATAAATCACATCACAATCAAGTGCAGAGATACAGTAAACATGTGCTAGCTTGGCGTCTCTTACATACTGTCCATGTGCTAGTTTACCTTTCCGTGAACCGGGTCTCTTCTATACTGTTCATTTCCTAGTTTGCCTTCCGCTAACTGGCGTCTCTTCTCTACTGTTCAGAACCCACCCACGCCCTAAGGAATGGTTACATCTCCCTACATCAATTAATTATCAAGATATCAAGACATCCCCACAGGCCAACCAGATGTGGTCAGTTCCTCACTGAGACTCACTCACAGGTGAACCTGTGCTGTGTGAGGCTGGCAGTTAAAACTGACCAGCACGATGAGGAAATATGCTTGAGCTGGTAGGGGTATTGATTCACAGCTTAGCGAGTGACTGTAAATGTCTCCATGTTTCTCAGCCGTGGGCGAAGATTTTCCTGTAAGAACCTCTGGTATCTCCCCGCAGCTTTCTCCTGGTCAAAGTCACGCTGATGACATTGGGGCCATGCACTTGGAACCTATTTCTAGGGATATAATATAGGAGCAGTTCATGGCAAGCAGATAGTTTTATAATTGTGCTTGTTCTGTTCAAAGTATATTAAGTCAGTTCGTAGGCACCTAGAGGCCAGGCCAGTTAAAGCACATTCCTTCCTTCTGAGTCAGCCTGGGGAACCTTGTACCAGTAAGCCATAGGTTGTGTGGACCAGAGAAGGGCAGGGCAGGACATCTGGTTCATTCTTGGTACAGGCCAAGTCCAGAAGTAAAAAGCACTTTGTAGTTGAACTAGGAGGATCAGAAATTCAAGGTCTCCTATGCAGTGAACTAGAGGTTAGCCTGGGCTGTATGAGACATTGTCAAGGAACCAAACACAAGGTGGAGAGATGGCTCAGTGGTTAGGAGTGTCTACTGCATTTGCAGAGGACCTAAGTTCAGTTTCTAGCACCCACATCAGGTGACCTCTCTTCTTTTAAAATGGATTATTTGTTAAAATTACATTTGTGTGTGAGTGTCTGTGTATGTTCATACACACGCGTGTTAGCATGTCATGAAATGCATGTGGAGGTCAGAGGACACCTGAAAGGAATTCTTTCCTTTTACTATGTGGGTCCTGAAGATTGAACTCATGCTGTCAGGCTTGGAGACAAACCTTTATCCTCTGAGGCATGTTGGCAGCTCTATTAGGGATTATTATTATTATTATTATGATGATGATGATTAATATTATTGTTACTGGGCTAGGATTGAACCCAGGACCTTGTCTACACTGAGCACACCTTCACTAAGCTCCAAGCCCAGCTCAAATGCATACGGAAGAGAGTAGCTCCACTCTGATGTCTTGATGAACTCTCCTTCCTGAAGGCCCCACCTCGAAACACATAGTCTATGTGTTTCCACTGTCTTAGTACTTCTCAATGGCAATGACTGCTCACGCATTTAGACTGTACCCAGACTGTAGCAGGGCACATGGAAAGGGCACATTGCTGGCAGATGGGAGACCTGGGTTCCAGTTCTGACCCAGAATATGGTCTTTATTGATGCGGGAGAATTGTCTGTATTCTGTCAATCATATTTTAATAAAACGCTGATTGGCCAGGCAGGCAGTATAGGCGGGAAAACCAGACAGGAAGTAGAGGTGATGTAATGAGAACAGGAGAATTCTGGGAAGCAGGGAGGTTCCTCTGCCATTCCTGCACAGACCACCGAAGAGGCAACATGTAAGCTGTCACACTGAGAAAGGTACTGAGCCCATGTAGCTAACATAGATAAGGATAATGGGGTAATATATGTTATAAGAGTTAACAAGAAGCCTGATCTAATGGGCCAATCAGTTTATAACCTTATGGAGTCTTGTGTGTGATTTTCTTTGGGCTTGCCAGTTGTGGGGTACTGGGCGGGACAGAAACCCCAACAAGCCTGCCCCCCATGCTACACTTTATCATTTTAATTTTAGACTTCCACTTTTCAAAATAAAGTTCTCATTCTAAAATGTCTCTTCTGGATGAAATTAGTTCTTGAGTGGACAATTTTAACTTCGAACCAGTGTAAATCTGTTTTTCTCCTTTTGGTTGTTCAGGCTGGCGTCACACTCCCCCACCTCTGCAGATGTGCCCCCAGCCAGGCCGGATCTCTCCTCTTAATGACTTACCTAGTATGTGGCAATGTGTTATTTGCAACAAAATATGGTCAAAGGCATCACCCTCTTTATGTTTTAACCTCTTAATTATGTGAAGGTGTGTATGGGCGTGTGAAGGTGGATGACCTCCATGGCCAGAGGCATCAGATACTCTGGAGCTGGCATTACAGTTGGTACTAAGCCTCCCGGGTAAATGCTGGGCCCACACTTGGCTCCTATGCAAGAGCAGTATTTGATCGTGACTTCTGAGCCATCCCTCCAGCCCCAGTACTTCTTGACTTTATTTTCCCCTTCACTTGCAGCCTCATTAACGTCGTGTGCCACACCTGCTTCAAGAGGCAGGAGAAGCTCCACCGCTGCGGGCAGTGCAAGTTTGCCCATTACTGCGACCGCACGTGCCAGAAGGACGCTTGGCTGAACCACAAGAACGAGTGCTCCGCCATCAAGAGATATGGGAAGGTGCCCAATGAGAACATCAGGTCAGAGCTGGTCCCTGTGACAGGGTTTGGGATTTCCAAATGTCAGGCCAGGACGGCAGAAGTGACAGCATTCTCAGCTCTCAGGGTGCCAGCCTGAGTGCAAATGTCTCAGGTCGTTTGTTCCTCTCGCTCCTTTAGGTCTGAGAGGGGCACTGGGCATCTATAGCAGTGATTCCAAATTGTAGCGCCCAGAGAGGCCTACAGGCCTCTGCATAGCTCCTCAATATTTAATTAAAAAAAAAAACAACTGATCTGCCAAACTTTGAAATTCGGAAAACTACACGCTGTGGAAAATTAGGGTTTCTGATTTCTCTGGAGAACAAGATTAAAAATGAAGCTCTGACAAGATGCACTGCTGCTTACCAGCATGCGTCTCTTTTACCAGGCGATTTTCTGAGTCAGTGAGCTCACTGTACAATGGTCCTTCTATCATCTCAGCAATCTGCGTTCACAATGCCAACTTCCACACGGGACCATTGCTAGGAATCTTGGCTTAGCTTGAGAGTTCCGGCTGAGAGTCCCCCAAGGGCTGGTGGCTCTTCTGGAAGGTGCTGACGCTGGGATGTGGGCAGGTGTATAGGAAGTCAGAGTGACCTCGGAGCAAAGGGGGTGAGGATACTAGTAATTAAAAGCATTTGCAGAACGCAGGGGATATGGTAATCAAGAATAGAGTCATTAATCAGGTGGTGGTGGTACATGCCTTTAATCCCAGCACTTGGGAACAGAGGCAGGCGGATCTCTGTGAGTTCGGGGCCAGCCTGAGCTACAGAGCAAAGTCCAGGACAGGCTCCAAAGCTACACAAAGAAACCCCTTCTCAAAAAAAACCAAAACCAAAAACAACCAACCAACCAACCAACCAAACAAACAAACAAACAAAAAAACGAACGAAAAGAAAACAAAAAAACTAACCAACCAAACAAACAAAAGACAAAGATAGAATAGAGTCATCTCCTGGGAACTTTCAGGAATCTACAGGATGAAACCCCAAAAGCTTCGCCCCCTCCTTGTTCTCTCTACTGGAGTCATATTCTTTAGGGCCCTAAATGACATCATCTCCCAATCTCTTTCCTCTGCACAGCTCCCAGTGATCACATCAGTTACTGACTTGAACTCAGTCACCCATTGTTTGCTCCTCGTGGAACCATATCCCCGGGATTCGGAAGCTACTGATCTTTCCCACACCTTGTCCCGAACCTTATTTTCCTCCATGCTGCCCTTGGATTTGTAGAGAAACCTTTTGATTCCCAGGTACCTGGAGAACCTAGAAGGGCACATTTCTTAGAATAATTCTGAGCCAAACAGAAAGAAATAAGGCCGGCACTGTGCCAAGCAAGAGAAGTCTCTCCTGGCAGGAGCACCACCAGTCCCCACTCAGCAGGTGACAGTGTAGCACCAAGGGTCTCTGGAACACAGAATTCATTTTTTGGGATTGTACCACCTCAAAAGTCAACAAGGAAGCCCTTGGGGTGAAGCACACCCCCCTGTGTTAGACTCAAAGGCCATTAGGGTCCCTTCCTGGCCCATTTTGCCTTGCCTCCCTCAGGATTTAGGCCCAAGACCCAGGATGCTAGATGTTTCTGTGTCCCAGACCCACGTGACTTGGTTCCTGCCTGTTTATCCAGCTACCTTCGGTCTCCATTCCTTGTTCTCTGTGCTGCAGCCTTCGGGCTGTCTTGCTCTGTCTGCCTTGGGCCACAGAATAACATGCCTTCTTTTCCTTCAGTCCCAGGGTCGGAACCTCTGCCCAGCCCAGTCAGATGTATTTCTTGGTCCACACTGCCCTGGTACCCTTAGCCTCCTCTTCCCAGCCACCCTTATTTTCTGCCTAGCACTTAGCACTGCTTGAAAAATGCTCTTGTTTACTGAAATCTCACATAGTGTAAGAAGCATCTTGATAGAAGTGTGCCCCTGACACTGTGTCCGGTGTGCGCTCGGCACTGGTGCTTGCTGAATGAGTGAGTAAGTGAACGAACGGATGATGAGGGGTTCTCAGTCTCCCTAACGCTGTCCTCCCCTCTTTTCCCAGGCTGGCAGCTCGTATCATGTGGCGGGTGGAGAGAGAGGGCACTGGGCTCACAGAGGGCTGCCTGGTGTCAGTGGATGACTTACAGAACCACGTGGAGCACTTTGGGGAAGAGGAGCAGAAGGAGCTTCGGATTGACGTGGACACGTTCTTGCAGTACTGGCCCCCGCAGAGCCAGCAGTTCAGCATGCAGTATATCTCACACATCTTTGGCGTGGTACGCACGGCCTTGCATCCCCCCCCCCCCCCCGCCTCCCCTGCTCTGTCCCTTGTGTCTGTCTCCTCCCTCTTTCCCTTCTTCCACTTTGGGAACATAGAGATGGAAGGAAGCCCCAGCTGCCCTGGACAGTGGCTTTTGTTTCCATGGCCATAGCTGTTAGACCAGGCAGTCAGAGAGATGAAGTCTGCCCTTTTGCACCCCAGGTATAGCAGAAATACCTACTAACCCTTCTAATCCTGAACTCAGAAGCAGACTTCTAAATGATCCCATTAAAATAAACCTAGAATCTTCTAGTACGATTTCTTATACTAGAGGGGCCATGTTGACACCAAGTATTATACAACTAAGAAGCTTCCAGAAGCAGACCAGCCAGATTCAGGACTGAAGGCCGAATGTCTGAAAGGGAAAGAAACTTAAAATGATGCTATTTTTTTTTTAAAATGATGCTATTTTAATCCACCATATTTCTCTCTCTCTCTGTTTCTCTGTGTGTCTATCTATCCAAGGTGGTGTCTTACCATGTAGCCCAGATTGGCCTTGAATTCCCAATCCTTCTATATCCTCCTCCGGAGTGCTGGGATACAGGTGTGTGCCACCTCTCCTAGCCCAGAGTATTTGTTCTTCTTTGCCTGGGACTCATACCCACCCCACAGAGCATGGGGAGGTAAACCAGGATGGATATTTAAAAGGACTCCTGAGTCCTAGGTGTAGAATCAAGGAGCCAACGTTCCTATATGTGGCTTTATTAGGTTAGAACTACTGGAAGGTTCGAAGTCGTAGTGCTTTGGTAAACGTGGGACTCCCCTCACGGCTCTCATTTTCGGATCATTTGAAATCACACAGGTAACAGGAAAAGGCTTACAGACTCTAGGCTTCTTCAGGACAAGAATGGACTCTCTCTAAAAATAATTTTATTATTAAGCAGCGAGTTCTCTATTTTCAAAGTCTTTCAGCGGTTCAGGTGCTATTCTGTACTGTGTCTGTTGACTGACTCTTCTGTACTGGATACGTGTCTGTTGACTGACTATTCTGTACTGGATACTTGCCTGTTGACTGACTATTCTCCTGTCCCCTGGGTAGATCAACTGCAATGGTTTCACTCTCAGCGACCAGAGAGGTCTTCAGGCAGTGGGCGTGGGCATCTTCCCCAACCTGGGCCTGGTGAACCATGACTGCTGGCCCAACTGTACTGTCATATTCAACAATGGCAAGTGAGTGTCTCCTTTATCTGGGCTTGTGCAATGGGGATGGGACACCATCATCCGCTTGACTTCAACCAAAGTCAAACTTTTGAACTTGAGCCACCATGGATATCGAATGTCCAGCAGCTCAGGGTCTCAGTCCAGGCCACGAGGAGAGGAAGGCAGTGAGGTGGGTGTCGAAGTATTCTACCTGGTCAATTCTGAATCTTTGAGGCTGCCTAGAGGTGTTAGGTAAATCATCAGTTACTGTTCTAAAGCTTGAACTCGGGGATCATTTGCCTAGAGCCAAAGCATCAAAGAAGGATCCTATGCTAGCTAAGGTCTCACAAGAACTTAGAAAACACACTCAAATAGTTTGCTCAAACAGAGCTTAATGAAAGGACAGTTTACTGATGTGGGGGCAGGATTTAGGAAGGATCAGCCAAGGACTGGCAAGGGGTTCACTGCTGAGTGCACGAAACCATTCCTGGACTTAGCAGGCTGACAGAGAAAGCTCTTGCAGCAAGTGAATGACTGAGCCATGATACAGTTCCTTTGGCTGAGCTGTGCCATACAACGGTGCGTGCACAGAAGCTGACCACGGCTGGGGTTATGGGACAACTCCAATCATGTTCTCCTCCTCTTTGCCAACTCCACCCAGAAGCCAAAGAGCAAAGGAACCTGGGTGATGCAGTCTAACCCTTTGACCCCAGGAAGGCACAGATCAAAGACACGTGGGCAAACACCTGGGTCTTGGGAGTGGGGCACAAAAGGAGGGATCAATAAATAACTGGGGCCTGATTGTGCATGGCTCAGACTAGGTCTTGAGGATGAAGCCTGAGCAATATGCATTGCCTTTACTCATAAAGATGGTGTCTTATAACAGCCAACTCTGAGCCACCAATCAGCAACTTTCTCTCCAAAACTTTCTTAAAGCTGGGACAGTGATTTCTGGGTCTCAGTTGAGAATCAAGTTGAAGTGGCAACATGGCCAGGACTGTGATTTCTTATTTCCTTCCTGTTTCTGACTACAGCATCTAAAGCCATTGAGGAAGATGACAAAGATTAGGAAAGCTTATTATGGACTCTGAGAATAATATTTTCTAGCGTTTTGGGTTTCTCTGTCTAAACCTCATGGAGTCTTTCTTAGAGGGTGCGTTGCTCAGGTTTAGAACGGTTAGCAGAGTGAATCATAGTTAGCCATGTGCAACTTCAAGATGGCCGTTCTGTAAGTGCCAGTTACCCCAGGCCCCTTTTGTCACTTGTAAAAATCTAGGAACCTAGGACCCCTACTTCAGGGCATCTCTGGTGTCAGCTGTAGCTTCTTTGCATCTACTAATTGTGAGTGGCCATGTGTTCCCTGGGTTTGTTGGCTCTTGTGCAACAAAGATCATTACAGTCATTGCCTGTCTGTCTACCACGCTGCAAATAACCTTGAACGTGGTCCTAGCGGGCCAGTTTCAACCCCAGAAGTATGTAAGTTCTACATATGCAATTGGCTCTTCCCAAGATAGTCATCCAAAAAGGCCATGTTCATCCATCATGCTTGTCAGTGGGACAGTAATAGCATCCCTACATTTCTAAGCCGTCTATTCTCAAACGTGTTACCTCGTGACTGCTTCATTACTGGATTCTAAGTGGAACACGAGGATATGGGAGAGGAAGTCAGTTGGTCAGCACCGAATCCCCCTGTAACCTCCTGTAACCCTGTTCCAGTGTGCTTTCCACTGTACCAGGCAGCATCCTGGCAGGGGAGGGATGAAGTTGATTGTGATTGTCAATACACTGATTGCATCAGCCCAGAATGCTGTGAGTTCTTCTGACTGTCCTGGAGCAGCGGATGGTACTGATTTCCTGTGGGTGTCTGTTTTGTCTTTCAGTCATGAGGCAGTGAAATCCATGTTTCACACGCAGATGAGGTGGGTCAGTCTTCTCATACACCCCTGTTTCTCTGACCCATCTCCCTCACTTGCCTGGCTTCCCGGGACCAGCCCTTGCCGACTCCTTGGCTGTTGTCATGATGTGTCACGCCCTACACTGCAATGTCTTGGCTTCACTGAATGGCAATTTTCCGTGCACTTGAATTCACTCTGTCCTCACCCACCTACCACCGGCCTTGCCTTTGTTCTATTTTGTTTGCTTTCTCCCCCACTCTCAGCCTTTCACTCCTGACTTCATTTTTACTCAAAGTTGGAACCTTTCTAGTTCATCATTTTAGCCCCAAACTATTTTCTCCTTAAACTCTGCTTACCATGAAATAAGAATGCCTATTACTAACCAATTAAAGAACTGTGCGATTGTCTGTAGACCCAGCTTTTCATCCAAGTCAATAGCACTCAGAACTGTGATATTTTGGTAACTATGTATTCATAGCATACTTTTTATTGATCAAAACTATGAACATGTGGCTTAGGTAACATTTTACTTTGAACTCTTAGGAAAAAAGGAAACAAGAGATAGCTTATTCTGGAGTGATTTTGAGTGACCATTTAGGTTACCCTAAATTCCATGTTCCAATATGTTAGAAATTTCATGAAGAGTTTGTTTTCTTTTTATATAGTTTCACAGAACAAAGAAAGTCACAGATCAAGGCAAGTTTAAAATACGTTGAGGGGTACAGCAGAGAGGTAGGTATGGTAAGATGAGGGGAAGCTTTTCTATAGGTCCAAGATGCTATCTGATGACATTCTTGGCTTTTGGGTTCACAGAAGCTAATAGTCTACTCAGCTAATAAATTCTAGAAGGTTTCTATCTATAAGTCATAGGATGTTAGATCTGACACAGAGGTGGGCAAGGCATGGCTGCTCTGGGGAACTAGGACTAGCCTGGATGAGGTAATTAGTCTCTGGACCAGCAACATCCCAAGCGCTCCACAATCCTGAAATTCTAAGCAGCTGATAAATCCTGCAGGCACAGCTTCATTTCAGGAGTCTTCATCACAGTTGCCCTCTGGCCAAGCACCACATTTTGTACATGTGGGGGACACATATTACTTGTTAAATATTGTAAGGTCCCTAGGAAGGCTCATTTCTAGGATCTGATGTAGATGGGGCTGAGTAGAGGTGGGACAGAAGTCGTCAGGAGAGAGAAAGAGCAGGCAAAGGCCATTAAGAAAGGACACCCTAGATCATATCACAGCCATTGCCCAATGTGATCTGGATCGGAATTTTTTTTTTTGCATTCTCTGTGTCTGACATAACATTTGCATGTGACATAGGGTGACAATATCTAAAATTAAGTAATCAAGAACACAGTCTGGTCTAATGGGGTGAAAGTAACTTATGAAACAAATCTTTTTAAAACAATTAAAATTTACATATTTAAATGAGATTGATAATATAGTTCCCCCTGCAGTTACAGTTATTTGTACCCCATGAACCGTCTTACTTGTATTTAAATGGTTTGAAATGGAACTTTAGAATGAGTCACTGTAGGATTATCTCCCCTTTTATTAGTAAAAAATAAATGTTGTTTAATTATTTTTTAATCCTGGCTAATTGTACTGTAGGACATTTTCGATACAAATTAGATCACTAAACATCAGTACTGAAGGTGCAAAGCATCGTGGGTGTTGTTACTAGAGACCGATGTCGTTTGTCTAATCCGGGTAAGAAGAGTCAACTCAAATCTTTGGATACCTCTAGCTAGAATAAATGGGGTGAAAGTTTAACTTAAAAACTAGAAGCTTTATTTTGTCCAATTCATACTTAACAGCCAGAATATATATTTATGTATTTATAAAAAACAATGAAAACTTGAATTTCTAAGCATTGATTTTGAATAAGGTAGGGTTTAGAGTAAGCAAATAGTCCCATGGAAAAGCATGGCCAAATGAAAGAACACAATATTTAGTAACATTTTATCATTTAGAAATATATCAAGTAAAATAATGGATGCCAAGAACATTTTTGTTGTTGTTGTTGTTTTTGTTTTTGTTTTTCGAGACAGGGTTTCTCTGTAGCTTTGGAGCCTGTCCTGAAACTAGCTTTTGTAGACCAGGTTGGCCTCGAACTCACAGAGATCCTCTTACCTCTGCCTCCTGAGTGCTTGGATTAAAGGCATGTGCCACCACCACCTGGATGCCATGAACAATTTTTAACAACTAATTACAAAAATATGTACGAAACATAAAAAGTGAGAGAAATGTTTAGTACCTTGGCATTTATGCTTGTCACTGGAGACGGACACCATGCAGCACTTCTCAGATGATGTGGGAATGCGTCTTGACTCCTGGACATAGTCCTGGTCTTTTAATCAGTATGGAGCCTTTGATGCAATGTCTTTTTTTCTTTCAGCTGATAAACTCATCTGGGTTTTTGTTTTTTGGAAGATTTTGTAACTAATTTTGATTTTTAATTATTAAAGTTAAATTTAAATTTTTAAAATTTATTCTTTCATATAATACAAAAGTTATTTTTTACAGTACTATGCATTATTTGTTTATCTACTAGATCAAATTTGATTGACCTGGATCCACATGTCATTTCTCAGTGGCAGGGTCCTGATGGGGAGGACCAGATGATGAGAAGATAAGAAGATAGAAAAGCTAGGGGCAAGTGATCTTGCATAAGCTATGTTTTACGCCAAGCAAGTTTATTAAGAAGTGTAGAATTTTATAAACAATTTGTGGGAGAAAAATAGGACCGAGTCAGCAGGACGCCATCATACAAAGGGGCAAAGTCAGCAGGAAGCTGATCAAGCAGTGTACAAGGGACCCAGCACAGGGCGGCCTTGGGACCCATAACTCCAGTCTCTTCAGAGAGAAAAGCCAACTTCCCAGGAATAGGAACTCTAACTTCTTTGAGGCTCTGCCAGCCCCAGACTGTACCTTGCTAAGCCTGCTCTTGGCAAGGACACAGACGAGATTCCTTCTGTCCTTTCACCAGGGCCTCTGAGAAAGCCTTGGCTCTCACAATTTTATAAACAGATTTAAACATTTGTCCACCAGAACAAGTTTCATCATCACTATGTGAGTTAGAACCACTTAAGTGGCGTAGCTCTCTGCACAGATGCACAGATTTAAACACCTA